TTTTTTTTTTTTTTGGTACCAGGGATAGAACTCAGGACCTTGTGCTTGCAAGGCAGGTGGCGGCACCACTGAGCTAAATCCCCAGCCCAGAAAAATCTTTTTTAAATGCTACCAAAAACTGGGGAATTATTAAAGTGTAACTCTAATGCAGCTGAACAAAAAGATGACATCTACAGAGACAATACAAGTAGGAAAACGAACTTCACCAGGAGCTAAAATGCTTATTCAGACCCATCAAAAGCTAAAGCTCAGAGACATCAGAACTGGAAAAACTACCACAAAGAAGACACAGAGAGGCTTCCAGTTACGTGTGGGATGTTGAAGAGAAGCAAGTCCCTAGTCAGGCACCTTCTAGAGACTAGGCAGATCCAGGCAGGACCCAGGCCAGAGCAAACATGGAGCCAGTGCCGTGGCTCCGGTGGGAACCACCCCCAGACCAGGGTTTGGAGTGTGAGGTACGGTGCCTCTCAGGGTACGCCTGACATCCCTGAAGAATTTCAGTTCACTTTTTTTCTGATTTAAAATTTGCTCACTGTAGAAAATTAAAAAGATTTAAACTGTGCTTGGTGGCACATGCCTGTAATCCCAGCTACAAGGGATGCTAGAGCAAGAGATTCAAACATTCAAGGCCAGCCTTTGACACTTAGCCAGAGCATGTCTCAAAATTAAATTTTAAGAAGGATTGTGGATATAGCTCAGTGATAGAATCTTTGCCTAGCATATGTATGATCCTGGGTTTGATCTCCAGTAATACAAAGGGGAAAAAAAGGATCATTTAAGATGTTTCATAAAAATATCACCACCCAGCCAGGGATTTAGCTCAGTGGTTCCAGCACCTGCCTCGCAAGCAGAAAGACCTGAGTTCGATCCCCGGTACCAAAAATATCACCACCCAGGGAAAACTACAGCTAATATTTGGTACAAAATAAGGATCATACACTACATACTTATTACATTATCTCTGTTTCCATATCATACTTGTACTTTGATACCTTTTTTAATTTCCCCTAATTATCTAACAACTAGTTAGATAACAAGTTATCTAACTATAATTTTGAGAAAAAGGAATTTGTTTCTTCCTGTCTGCTAGAGTATGTTTAATTTTGAAGGTGGCCAAAGAAATAACTGGATCATCAAGTCTCACAGCAGTATTGTCAGGAAGAAATACAGGCAGCAGCATATTTATAAGGCATGCATTATATTCTGGAATATTGCAGCGTTTATTAGCTGGTGACTTGCCTCACTACATTAACTGAACTCATTACTGAAACCAAGTTTTAAGGGCAAGCTTAATTTGTTTTTTAAAATGGGATTTTAAAATTGAAACATGTTTAAATGATCACAGTTATTGGCAATTAATCATTTGGTATTTAAGGAAAAGTTATAAATAGGATGAAATTTTAAATCAAGAAAGTAAATTGTAGCTCATTCATAAGAAGAAGGAAAACAGTCTGAATTAGCCCAAAGATTCCCAATATGTAATTCAACCCCCTTTACAAGAAAAGGCAGTGTAATTTTTAAAGGTTGGCATTTTTTTCCCTTATAAGGTCTTGGAGAAATATCAACTCTTGGATGTCATATTGGAGTCTTAAGAAAGTAGGAAAGGTAAACAAAGGAGACAATCAGAGTTAGAAGAATTTAGTGCCCAAAAAATCCTCAAGTTTTGGCTTTAAAATCCTTAACTTCCACTCAACAGAAGACCTGAAAATATTTCCCATGTATTATACCCATTTTCCAATCCTTGAACTATGATATGTTCAGGAAAGTTCAAGCGGCACAGTTTAGGTTCCTTGCCCTAGAGAAACCTTCCTATTAATCTCCGTACTTCATTTCTTTCCTGTGCTATGAGACTGAAACATTCCTGCTGTGGTCGCCTTTTATTTTTCGCATTGTTCCCCTTACTCTTCTGTATCCATCTTCCTCTCATCCTGCCCAACTCCTTTGCCATAGTGGTATAAAAGCGCCCTTCTTTCTTCTTTCTTGGACTTGTGTTTCTCCTCAAATGCCTTCCCTTCAGGCCACCCTTTATTTATTTATTTTAATCGTCTCACCACCTTTTAGTTCAGAACCTACTATGAGCCAGGCCTGGTGGTGCAGGCCTATAATCCAAGCAGTTGGGGAGGCTGAGGCAGGAGGATGGCAAATTCAAGCCCAGCCTGGGCAATGTAGTGAGACTGTGTCTCAAAATAATGAAAGAATAAAATGGTGTGGTGTTAAAAGACCCTCTTTTCTCTAAGTCAGCTACACTTCCACTTATCGATCCCACCAAAAGGTTGTCCAAAGTTCCTCTTGCCAAGTTCTTATTTTAGATGAGTCTCGACTAACAAGTATTGCCTGACACTTGTAGGAACCCGACCATACAGGTGAAACAGGAAGTTCTGGGCGAGGACCCCCAAGGCTGCCACCAAGGTAAGTGAGTATGGGAAACAGTAGAAAAAGATGAATGACTCACCCAACTCTACTCTGCCGTCCAGACTGAGTGTTGTTGGCCTTAGATCTTCTTTTACAGATAAAATTAACTCACAGATTCACCCAGGTCCTGGCCCACACTCTGCTTCTGACAGAGGTTGTTGGAATTTCTATTTCCTTGTCTTTTTAACTCATGCCAAAACTTAGCGCACAAACCTGGGTCTCTTTCGTACTGTTCCTCGAACAAATGAACGAGACTCCTTTGTAAACCTTAAACAACCCCATCTTTGGAACACTCGCACAAACACCCTCCTGCGTAAGAGAAGTGGGCCTGGTCTTGGCCAAGGAAGGCAGGCCTTGCGAACTCAGAGGTGACTACCGCCTGGGTGCCAGAGCTGTGTGAGCGAAAGGCTGCGCGGCTGTCAGAAGACGGCACCGTGTTGAAATTTATTTCTGCCTTTGCGATTAGGGACAGGCTTTCAGAGTAATAGCTGTCTCACTCCACTTTCAGAATTAGTTTTCTTTAAATTAGAGTTTTAATAGTGATCCCTAGGGGCCAGGGATTTAGCTCAATGGTTTCACCGCCTGCTTTGCAAGCGGAAGGACCCGAGTTCGATCCCCGGTACCAAAAAAAACAAAAAAAAATAGTGATCCCTATAATGTGAACAGTAGGATGTTTTCTTTTTCTAATCATTTACAAGACCCTAGTACATATACCTGATATTGTAAGCTTTTCGTCTCAGTCTGGTAGAAAGTGCTTAGCTTTCTGAAACAGTCATGATGTGTGTAAGAGGGCTCATGATAGTAAATGCTTGTTTGTCTTTAACTAATGAATCTTCAGTGCAAGATAAGGAAGCTGGAACATTGTGGCATTTCCTCTAATAAAATGTTTAATGCAATAGTTGTTTGTTCAAAAATAGCATACCCTGCAGGTTTCGGTAATTGTATTACACTAGCAGAAAGCTCTGTGTGTGTGTGTGCGTGCGTGTGTATATACATGCACACCTTTAAGAAAGGAAAGAATGGAACCTAATACCGATCAAACGCAGACTCATGATCACCACATTGACTTTCAGACCTGTAAACGGAAAAGTGATTGTAATTCGACGACCTCCTCCCAAAGGGGCCCCTGAGAGACCACCTCCCCCCAAACTTTCTGCCACTAGAACATCAAGCAAAATGCATTTCAATCGGTCCTCTTCTGACATGGATCTTCAGAAAAAACAAAGTCACCTGGCATCTGGACTCTCAAAAGCCAAGAGTCAAGTCTTTAAAAGTCAAGATCCGGTGCTACCCCCTCGCCCCAAACCAGGACACCCTCTGTACAGGAAATACATGGTAAATATTGCTTTTTAAAATGTTTGTGGTCAAGAAGTTTGTCCTAAAACATATGTATAGGATCCATTATTTCTTAGAAAAAGATGGTGAAATAAATGTAGGCTTGTCCCTTGACTCTTAGAGAGCTGTAGATAAGTGCCGTAGTGACACCTGGGACTGAGAAAACTGACCAGAAGGTTAGGCTAATGGGAGTAACTGACAGATATTACAGTTATATCTTGGTATAGTTAAATCTTACAGCTACTTTGCCCACTGAGTAAAATTCAAACTAAAGTAGAAATTGAGTTTCTACTAAGATGTACAGATATTCCCACATTTTTTCCATTTTGTAAGCCTAATTATTATGGTCCATTTAATAACTACTAGTTAGAAGTTTTTATCGGTAATTGAGATAGTTGGAATATTACATTTGTTCTCTGTGAATGTTTTTCTCATCAAATGACTTTTGCCTTCATTATCCATGGATGAAAAGCAGATTGATGTGCTCTCTACTTTGGTCAGGTTAACCTGATTAAAAAGTAAATAAATAAATAAGGCCAGATATTTAGCTCAGCACCCCGTGCCTGCCTTGCAAGCGCAAGGTCCTGACCTCACTCCCCGGTACCTAAATAAATAAATAATTTTAAAATATAAAATGACAGCAGACTTGTTTCTATTTCTTAAACAATTGTGTGACAGAGTAGCTCTTAACAGGGACGGCAATTAATAATTTATATTGTTCTACTCTACATCACTGAGCCAGATTTTTTTTCACTTTAAGCCACTCAGGGTTTTAAAAATACTGTCCTTTGCTAAGAGAATTGGCAGATAAGAAGGAGGTTATATTCATATATATTCATATTCATTTCAACTAATGAAACTTTAATTGGTAAAACCAAGGGTATTCTTTGGGATAGATTACTTAATAAATAAATAAAAATAGTACCTGGTGTGTATTGAGTACTAATTATAAGCCAGGGACTGCTTGGAGCACTTATACATAAAGTAACTCATTTATTCCTCACACCAACCTTGTGAGTTAGATACTATCATTACCACCATTGTACAGATGAGGAAAATAAGCTGGTGAGATTGAACCAGCTAGTGGGGGAACCAAGATTTGAACATAGTTGACTGGCTCTGAGCCCAGGCTCCTGACCATTATGCCACCCCATGAACACCGTGTTCCTGGTGGAAAGTCTCTGCCTGCTTTGGCTATCTTTTCTTAAGATCCTTTACTCAGGGGAAGCCAAATATCACTTAGCATAGCTTTATACTGTCAGTAAAACATTTAACTCAAGCCAATTAATACATCAAAGTGATGCACATTCAGAGTGATTATGTCTCTTGTTATGAAATAATTGCTTAAATTATTTCTGTTTTCCATGGCTACCCTGCCATTAAATTGCTGGCCTGCTAGCCAGCTACCCAGGAATCCGGTACACATGGAGTCTGAGAAAGCTGGGAAGCTGTACTACCCAACACAGACCTCTGTATCTTTGCTCCTGGATGATCTGGGGCCCAGGCAGCCTCCCTCTCCAAGTTGGGAGTGAGCGTGTGTGGTTGCATCTCCTGGGTATGCTTTGTATATTGTAGAGACCCTCTGACCTGCACACATCAACTCCCATTTACCAAGCAGGGTAAAGAGCCCTCCTTGCCAGAGTGGGGCACAGATGTAAAAACTGTTCTAAGACCACACCAAACTGAATAGACAAGGAGGTGGCTGGGGTCGGGTAGTGAAATGGGTTTAAACAGACACTGGGTATCCTGGAGACTCTAGGCTCAAAGCAAAGGGAAACAGCAGTCAAGCCCTACATGGAGAGCTTCAGTCACCTGTTAGCTTTCAGAAGGCAACCACTGTGACAAGCCCTGACAGGCTGTGAGGTCACGCACTGAGTGTTAAGCCTTCATTGCCCCAGGGGGTTTGGCGCACCTGCTGTGTGACATGGAACTTCCTGGTAGTGGTTCTTAAAGGGAACTGCAGGCCACATTCAGCCCTTGTGGTCCTGTGGGCTCAGCTTCACGTCCCAGGAACTTTAATGTCTGTAAGACCTGGCAGGCCCCACTTGATCTAGGGCCGGAAGGGATCTAATCGAGAGTTTAACTGCTAGAGAGGTTGCATCTTAGGTGTACTTGCCAGAGCCCTAAATGGTCACCAACTAGTGAGGACACTTTTTGGTTGAAGAATAATTCTTTTATCGGATTACATTTAAGCTACCTGTGCCTCATGGGATTGCCAGTGAAGACATTTTGTCTCAAAACCCTGGAGAACTCTCTTGTAAGGTAAAGCAGAGCTCTTTCTTTTTTTGTTGTTGTATTAAATTCTTTTATTGGTACATTGTAGGTATACAACACAATTACATTTCTCATTGGGAATTGTACCTTTAC